AGCATACACCCAATTCATTTCTACCAATTACATGCTGCTTTGCGGTGTTTTTAGCCAATACAGAGTAGGATAATCACTTTCATGCAGCTTTTTCGGGACGGAGTAGTACATAACTGGGATAGCAAAACTAGTGTTACAGTATGTGCTCACACCAACCAATCAATGAATTGTTGGAATAAATGATTTACAATTTGTAATACTTAGTTCCAGTGGAATAACGAAGGGTCGCGTTTTCTTGGATCAAAGGAACCCTTTTCTGACAGCTCTTGTTCCAAAATCTTGAGTTATTCGAAACCATCTCGGAGGAGTTACTCTTGGTTTCGCCTACTGGCGGCGAGACAACAGGTACCGGTCCAGGCTGCCCTGATAATTCTTCGTCTAGCGACCACGAGCTACTCTGTGAGGATTAAAACGCGATCATAGCAGATGTTGGAGAAGCTTGTACAGCCAAACGCACGCTGTTGGCCTACCCAGGGAGTCTTCGCGCTATTTCACGCTGGATAGAGAATGCCAAGGTGCAAGATTTATCTAACTACTTCGATAAAGGCGAACAAACGGACGCATTACTGCATCCGATTTCGAATTTCTTCGTGAAAAGGGAAAACGGTGGAAGTGAGCACGTTGCTCCAGTTTCGTAGCGTTATAGACGACTTAGATCAACGAAAAGAGCTTGCTGTATCGGACGCCCTTGAAGAAATGCCTACTTTCCGTCCCGGATTAAAGAGACTACAAACGCCTCTGTTGAGACACCTTAATTTGCCAGGACAGAGGGTTTGCTCACTTCTTTCTCACCATCCAATGGAAGCTCACGTTCCGGTCGGAGTCAGTTCAAATATTGCTCTCAGCGCATTTTAGCTGTTATGGTGACAGCGTTGGTTGCATCATACACAAATAAAAATAATCACAAAGGCAGCAGGTTGAAGGGTCCTAGCCGATATTCTCACGTTGGGTCGTAAACGGTACAGCTCGAGTTCATTGAGGTTAACCGACGAGTATCAATATCTCTCGGTTAGATCTCGCTACCACGAAGCTACCTACTCGCTATTGCTCCTCCCCATTCACCTCGCCCAGCTCGTCAT